CAATGTCATTTTTTTATATTCATAAATATTTGTATTCTGTAAGTGTCTGTCTTTACCGGAATTCATTTAGAACCAAGCCATTAAATTCCCGGTAGGTTTAGTCCTGTTTCATCCTGAAGGGAGCTCCCAGAATAGAACAACACATTAAGTAGAGCTTAAAACAAAGCACACAGTGAGAGCTTGGGGTATAGAGCGCTGCAAGAGAGACGTGCCAGTGTATCTGTGAAGACTGAGAAAAGATAGATGAGAGCGCTCTTTTGCATGCACTCTATTAGTCAGAGCGCAGTCTGTTGTTCTGCGAGTTTTGACCTTTACTGTGTGACTGAAGCGTGAGTTAACGCAATTCTCAACCCAAACAGTCCAGCATGGGTAATTTGTCTGTTTGAACACGGAAAAAGAAAGGAATCGATATCACAAGTAAACACGTGTGCTGACAAAGCCATTCAACAGTGCATGAACTGGCCATTCAGATTCAGCCACCTGTCGGCCTCACAGAAATTAATGTACTAATGGTCATTGATGGGCGGCTTATTATATATATATATAGCCATTTGTGTAAACAGGAGAAGAAAGCTGATATTATTCTTTTTAATGGACTTTATGGTATGCTGACTCTTTTGCTTCCGTTGATGATTAGGCAGATGACTGTCGGCCATGATGATGTGCGCATTATTGATGCTGAGGCACTTTGTGAGGTTGCATGATTCTTAACCAAAACAGTCAAGCAGCAGTAATTCATCTGCTTGAATACAGAGAGGAGATAAAAATCAATATGACAAGTAAACAATTGTGCTGACAACCCCAATTGGCACGGAAATTGTGGATTTTTCCACTGATTACTCCAGTTTTTATTGTATAATATTCCACCTGTTAATAAACCAGAAATGCACATGCGTTACATGTCATTGAGCTGAATTACAGCACATTTACAGGTTCTATCCTGTCAATAACAAGCATACAACTAGGATTAAAGTAGTAAAAAAAAAAAAAAAAAAAAAAACAGCAACTTACTCTTAAAGGTACCGTTAATTAAAATGCAAAAAAAAAATTGTTTCTGACTATTAGCTAGTGTGCTTCAAAACAGTGACACAATTTGTGTTTAGAAGATATAAAGCAAATAAAAACATGTAAAACTAGCAGTTTATCTCTTCTGCCTAATGAATCAACTATTTTTTCTTACATCAGTTTAAGTTTCAATTTTCTGTTAAATAAAAATGTTGAGAAACCAGTAGCTATTGACTTCCATAGTCTCTTTTTTTCTTACTATGGATATCAATGGTTATCGATTTCTAGCATTCTTCAAAATATCTTATTTTCTGTTTAGCAGAAAAAGAAACGCATGAAAGGTTTGTAACCAACTGAGTGAATAGTGAGTACATATTTTTACTGTTTTGTGAATTATTACTTTAAATGCATGCATGTTTCACCAATAGTTAAGTCTTTTGCGATGCAAGCTGTATATGTATCTAACTAGCATGGATCTCTAAATGCATAAAACTCTCATGATAGTTTACAAAAGCAATAAAGAAAAATGTATTTCATCAGTGTTTGGATTTTAGGAAGTTAAGATTTTGCTATCACTGTAATACGAGCAAACTCCCACACTACATTCAGTATTTGGCTTATATTTGCAATCTCTACCAAATCCTCAAAAACAAACAAACAAACAAACAAGAAAATCCCTGAAAATTTCTAATGTCTTCTAAACCAATATTTTGATCACTGACTAAATCTAAATTCATGACAGTGAAACATATATTTGATCGCATACAGTAGTGTGCACAGTTGTATTGATAGTGCTCATTAATTACGTTTGGACAATGCTGTTGTCATTCGAGATCTAATGGTGACAACATGATCAAAAACAACCTTTATGAATGACCAGCTATTTAATTCCTTAATTAACTAACTGACTTCATTAATCTGTTTATTATGGATTCTTTTTTGCCTGACTGCATTAGAAATAGCAGACTTTCCTACTATAAAGCTGGCAAAAACAGTATGCATTAAAGACGTATTTTCGGAATCACAGTACTCTTAAAAAAGTTAGCCAAAAAGTGAGTGTCCAATGAACACTTTACTATCCCATGAGGCTATGGGTGAGGAATTGGTAATTGCAGTACAGCAATTTATGCTGTAAGGCCACATGATGTGGCCTCTAAAATATGGCCAGATAACATTTATATTGTTATGCACATTTAAATTATAAAATACATGCAATCTTTAGTAAACATAAAACAATTAATAACTTTATAGCGGTCTATGTGCTTTTTAAATTTTTAAATCTGATATATGGCAATATATGCCAACTACATATATGGTATACAAGTTAATATTTGGATTTGGCATGTATGTGTGTACACACACTCACCGCCCACTTTATTAGGTACACCTGTCCACCTGCTCTCATGGCAGCAAACGATCTGCTGCAGTTCAAACTGAACACCAGAATGGGGAAGAAAGGTGATTTAAGAGACTTTGAACATGGCATGGATGGTGCTAGATGAGCTGGTTTGAGTATTTCAGAAACTGCTAATCTACTAGGACATTCACGCACAACCATCTCTAGGGTCTATAGAGAATGGTCAGAAAAAGAGAAAATATCCAGTGAGCGGCAGTTCTGTGGGCACAAATGCCTTGTTGATGCCAGAGGTCAGAGGAGAATGGCCAGTCTTATTCGAGCTGATAGAAAGGCAAACAACCACATTACAATCGAGGCATGCAAAAGAGCTTCTCTGAATGGACAACACATTGAACCTTCAGGTGGAGGGCTACAGCAGCAGAAGACCAGACCGGGTGCCACTCCTGTTCGCTAAGAACAGGAATCTGAGGCTACAGTTCACACAGACTCACCAAAAATGGACAATAGAAGATTGGAAAACATTGCCTGGTCTGATGAGTCTCGATTTCTGCTGCAACATTCACATTGTAGGGTCAGAATTGTGTGTCATCAACATAAAAGCATTGATCCATCCTGCCTTGTATCAATGGTTCAGACTGGTGGTGGTGTAATGGTGTGGGGGATATTTTCTTGGCCCACTTTGGGCCCATTAGTACCAACTCAGCATCGTGTCAATACCCGAGTATTGTTACTGACCATGTCCATCCCTTTATGACCATAGTGTATCAGTCTTCTGATGGCTACTTCATAAAGAATGAATCATCTCAGGCTGGTTTCTGAAACATGACAATGAGTTCACTGTACTCAAATGGCCTCTACAGGCACCAGGTCTCAATCCAACAGAGCGCATTTGGTATGTGGTGGAAAGAGAGATTCACATCATGGATGTGCAGCCAACAAATCTGCAGCAACTGCGTGATGCTAGATATGGACCAAAACCTCTGAGGAATATGTCCAGTATCTTGTTGAATCTATGCAATGAAAGATTAAGGCAGTTTTGAGGGCAAAAAGGGGTCCAACGCAGTACTAGTAAGGTGTACCTAATAAAGTGGCCGGAGAGTGTATATTTGTCATGTATGAAACAAAGCATTTAAAATATTGCAAAAATATATATTGCATCAATAAATATATAATTGTGCCTATGTATGGAATTGCATATATCCATAGGTTGAAAAATATAAATAATTTGGTATTCAATATAAAAAATAAAGTCATTTTGTGATCTGCTTCTTTTTGCATGCACATTTGCACTTAGTTGTGGTAGATTTCACTTATGGATCAATATTTACAGCTATTTAAAAATAGTGTGTCCTTGTGTAAAACACATAATGAGCAAGTAGAGATGTCTTTACACTGCTAGCATTTAAAAGCTGGCTTTGATCATGGCTTTACATCAAATTGTGTATAAAAGACGCAATGCTGCATCTGTAGGTGTACCAGATCAAGCTTCTGACTCACTTCATGCCCTAGTATGAGAGGCAGCTAAAAATGATAATTTCACCCTATTTAAATACGTAGTCCCTCCCCAAACTCACGCTATTGGTTTAACCCAAAAGCACCCAGATTGCAGCGCCCACTGATACTGAAATGCCATGCTTCACAATTAGCATTACATTAAGCTGCTATGTTGTTGAGCCTCTCTGCTGCTAGCCATAAACAAATAGAAACAGAAACACCCAACCAACCAGATGAAAGAGGGTCAGTAAAAGTTTAGGTTGACCACTGTTGTGGCGGTTTACTTTTTGAGGATAAAGTGTGGGTTTGGGTGTTTCCTGTGACTAAAAGAAGAGCTGATGACTTGTGCTTAGCGCTGTAAAAAATTACATTGAGGTTTTAATAAACCGCTGTCAGTTCATGTAGCTACAGCTGCCTTCAACTGAAGCTTAAAATGAGTGATTGCGGTTACTAAATTAGTGGCATGTCTTGCTGCATCTCATGTGATGTGGGGTTACAGAGGTTGTACGTTCTTAAATCTTTAAATGATCTGCTAAATATTTCAAGAGATGAATAGCTCCTTGAAGAACAGCCAGCACCATCTTTCCCATTAATCTCCCATCAGTGGAGAGGACCACTTCTTTCTGCTTTGAGTAGGGCAATTTCACTGTACATTAATGGCATAACAGCAGTGTGTAATGTACGTTTAACAGTCCTCCTTTTTTCTGCACTCATGTTATCTCCGCTGGTCAGGAAAGCTGGGCAATCTGAGGCTTGAGTGGAATATATTTATGAATTACTGAAAGCTAATGGAATTGTGTTGTGTGAACTGGACGTCAGGCATGCCAGCACATATACACAAGAAGTTAGTGGCCCGCAGCCTTTTATGCATCTGCTCTTGTCTGTACTTCCCCATGAGGGTTTGCGATTTCCGTAAAAATCTTTAGCATGCATAATTTAGAGAATTTGGGATTTGCGCACTTAACATAGTTGAGAGTATATTTTGAAAAGGACGGCCTTGGTTAAACCTGCTAATGCACTATTAACTGATAGACATGTGCTTATGAAAGGGCAGAGAGTGTGCTTTTAGCATAAAAAATGTGGAAAAAGTGAAAAAAAAAACAAAAACGTTTTGTCTAAAGCAGGGGTGTCAAACTTAATTGCTGGAGGGCCGAAGCCCTGCACAGTTTAGTTCCAACCCTGCTCCAACACGGTTACCTGTAGGTTTTAAACAAGCCTGAAGGACTCAATTAGTTTGATCAGGTGTGTTTAATTAGGGTTGGAACTAAACTGTGCAGAGCTGCGGCCCTTTTGGAACTGAGTTTGACACCTGTGGTCTAAAGGCACCCATAGGTTCACTTTGTTTACAGAGAAGCTAACAATTTGAAGGTAATTATTCATTCATTCATTAATTTTATTTTCGGCTTAGTGCCTTCAATAATCCGGGGTTGCCACAGTTGAAAGAACCGCCAACTTATCCAGCAGGTTTTTACGCAGCGGATGCTGTTCCAGTCGAAAGCAATCACTGGGAAACATCCGCACATACTCATTCACACTCATACACATAGACAATTTAGCCTACCCAATTCACCTGTACCGCATGTCTTTGGACTGTGGGGGAAACCCACGTGAATGCTGGGAGAACATGCAAACTCCGCACAGAAACACCAACTGATATAGCCGAGGCTAGAACCAGCGAGCTTCTTGCTGTAAAGCGACAGCACTACTGCACCACAGCGTCGCCAAGCTAATTATTTAAAAAGGTAATAATTCATAATGTACATTTTATACATAATGGAATTTATTGTCAGTTTTTGCTATAATTCTAAACAAAGCAGCAAAAACTATTGCAGTAGGTGTGTTTTTGACTGTTTTGTGAGTTAAAGAATAATTCAATGACTCACTCATGAAGCCTGTTGCTTGTTTTTTTTTCCTAAGGGTGCTTAATGTCACATAATTTTCAACTAAAAACTTAGAGCCGCATTTAAAACGTCCGCATTGCATTGCAGGTCAGTAAAAATACGCAAATAATTGACAAACAAAACAAGAACGGTTGCCAGACATGCAAAATACAGCCATTTACTTTAAAAAATTGTATTTAATATTTAAAAAAAAAACGATTATTTTTACAACAGTCAACTTTACACGAAACGTCTCAAAAAAAGCATTGAGCTAACTTTTCTGTTTTAGCACATTGTTGTTGTGTAAATGCACCTTTAATGCATCCAAAGTAATCGTTAAATAATTCACTCATAAACACTTAAGCAAGATGTGCATGGCATGATTTGTTGCTATTTTCAAACTAGCGCAGCTCTAATTTTCATGTTTTGCACCACGTTGTTTAAATAGCAAATCCATTTGCACCAATTTGTGGACTCATGGTGTGCCAGTCTATAAAGGAAGTGTGTTAAGGCACATTGTTAGCACATTGCTACTTTTATTAACTGAAATAGACTGTGCCATTGACCATCTAAAAGCTGGTCTACTAAAAGGTGGTCAACTAAAAGTCCAGCAAAAATATGAAATATTCGTACATGACCTTATTGCTTTTGCACCATGCGCTTTAGACTTTGCCCCTAGATCTTTAAAATAGAGCCCTATGAATTGTTACCACCTACCAGCATATAACCTGCAGGAAAAATATATATTTTTAATAAATATTTGTATAAAAATATTTTTTCCATTTAAATGCACTACTTTTTAATTGTTTTTCAATTCAAATGTGTTGAAAAAATGTGCATCACCATAACAGTCATATCTTGCCTTTTGAGGTGTGATGCACAAGAGCACTGCTTTTTTTACTACACCATGTGAAATTTATAAACCATGTGAAAGTAAAGAAAAAAAAACCTTGCAGCACCGCTCGTCAGTGTCAGTTCCAAAGCAGTGGACCAATCAGAACAACTCAGAGGCTGGGCAAGCATTGCAAGTTTCTGTTTGCAGGCACACTTCGTGGTATATGTTCTTACTTTTAAAACCCATTCTTGAATGCTCCACCTCACATTTCTATATGCAAAGACAAGCTCTGTGAGCTCTTAGTGTATTTTGGTGCACTATTTTGAAACACTGCTCATTTATTAAAATTATATGCAGAATATATTAATAATTTCAACCATATAATCAAGAAAATGCAAATAGAAACAGTCGGATATGTGACACAAGATTATCACTATCAAGAGAGAAACCCATTATGCCACCAGCTTCTTTATAATTAATACAGATGGTCCTAAACTGGTGGGAGTTAATCAGAAATCCCCAACTGTTTTTTCCATCAAGCCCCAGTGGGACAATACTGTCCAAAAATGAAAGCACAGCAATGCCAACAATCGCAGCCATATATAAAGAACCCCACACCAGGCTCTCCCCGCTGACGCAAAACACACGAATTCACAAATACAGACGCAGTCCCAAATGTGGGTGCACTGTGTTAGGCAGTGCTGGGTTACATAAGAGAACGTGACAAGCTTTCATCTCCAGGAAGAGAAGGTACGACCAGAGAATGAAAGTAAGAGGTGATGTAAGGGAGGAGAGGATTTTGTGCTATTTCTGAGACACTTGAATGAGCCTCGTCCCTTCTTTTTCTCTTCGTCTTTCCCTGTTGTCATGTAGGAAACGCTTTGGCTAAGGGGTCACTTGCCACTTTTCATGTAATCTTTTATTCATCTCATCTCTCTAAACAAAAAGCTGGATGTGATACTTTATTGTTTAGTAATTCCACCCTAAAATGAATATTTTGATATCATTTATTCACCCTTTTGTCATTCCAAACTTCCAAACATTTTTTCATTGTTGTTAAAAACACAAATTAGTAGAAAAGTAATGAACTGTGAGAGGTTTCCCTATCCCTCCTCTGAATGTCTGTTCACCAAAACTAAAATACTTTAAAACAGTCTATCAAGATATAAAAAAATGTTTGAATTGTTGAATTAAATGGTTTTATTCTTTTTAAGAAGAGTCACTGTATACAGTTTGTTTAAAATATTGATTTTGGGCTTTTATTTACATTAAACTTAAGTTTAAACTGGTTAGTTGAATTAAACTAACTAAAACTTTAAACTAAAATCTTCATTTGTGTTTTGAAGAGGAACACATGTATTATGGGTTTGGAATAACATGAGAATTTCAGATTCATTATAGCCTTAAAGTAACAGCGTATTTCATGTGTTTTGTCGTTGATAAAAACAGCCGCTCTGTCATTTGCCTTCAATGAAACAAGCAGAAAACCTTACAAAACATTGAAAAGCTGTTGTTATATTTAATAGGGGTGAAAATAATCTAATCTGTAAGTTTATTGTGTGTCTCGGATACATTTTATTTAGCATTTTAATCAGAACACAGTTTGTCCATGCATAATGCTGTGTTTTGATGTGGCAGTGCAAAGCCACTGACAGAGTGCTGGGTAACTAGTCTTTCATCTTCAGATGGCAGTAAGCAGAGTAGCATGATACCAAACCCAAACAGTCCAGCAGAGGCAATTCATCAACTTAAATAGGAAGAGAAAAGGATCAATATCATGGGCAAACAATTGTGCTGACAAAGCCATTGAGCATGGATATTAGATGAACTGGTCATTCAGATTCAGCCATCTGTCAGCCCCACGGAAATGAATTTGCTAATGTTTTAATGACAGATGGGTTTGATTGATAAACTGCTAATGAGGGTTAGAAAGCAATTCGGTTCTTTGAAAGGAGTTTTACATCCTGTGCCCGAGCGTTGAACATATAAACATATATATATATATATATATATATATATATATATATATGTGTTCAATTTATGATAAATAAACAAATAAATCAATAAATAAATCATTTGAATATACTGACTTTATTCATCCGTCATCATTTACTTACCCTTGACTTGTTCCAAACCACTTTGAGTCTGTTGAACACAAAAGAAAATCTTCCTTAGTAGGAAAAACAAACACAATAGAAGTCAATAGCTGTTTCCATTCAATGCAAATTAAATTTATGCACAAAACAGGAATATTGCATAAAAGGCATGTGAATAAAGCAGCGTTTCCATCCACTGAGTCAAATTAAACAAAATCATCACTTCCTGATTAACTGGCACCAAATATCAACAGAAAAAACGGAATTTGCTGCGATAGGAGAAGCTGCGTCAATCTTTTCTTTATTTAATAAACAACTTGCGCCTAAGAAGACAATGTCGAGACGCAATGTATAGGTGGCGGCATTTGAAGGCTTGAGACCCTCTTAAAGTTCTGGAGGTAATTAATAAAATCATCTTTAATAATACTAATACTGAAATGATTAGGATTCTCCAGGAAAGTGGTTGATTCATTTTACTCAGTTATGTGCAGGGCTTAATTTGTTCCTGAACATGCCGATTCTGGATTTGGCACCTCTGAAATCTGATCCGGCACCTCATTTTACAGATCCCCCGCCTCAACCACGCTCCTCCCCCATCTGTTCACTTTCTTCCGCGACTCCCCAACCCTCTTCACTTTCATCCGCAACAACCAACCCCCCACCCCCGGTCTTCACTTTAGTACTTCGCCCATGACCCCCCTCCGCCATCCATCACAACACAATGCCATCCTCCACCCCCAACCCCCCTCTCCATTTACGTGCGCGACACCTCTTCTTCCTCGGGTAACATGCCAGAACTGTTGCCCCGATCTGATCCTGGACCTCGCAATTCACAAATTAAGCACTGGTTATGTGCATATGTTTTGTATGCCCATTTTCAAAACTTATGCACATATCCAAAATGCGCATAAAAATAGGTGGATGGAAACATAGCTAATGGCTAATGGCTACAGGATTCCAACAGACTTCAGTATATACAGTTGAAGTCAGAATTATTATATTCCTTTTAGTGTGAACTATGCTTTAAAATGGTTGTGCTGCTTAATATTTTAGTGAATTTTATTTTAATGTTTTAAATGAAAACACTTTTTAAATTCTTTATAAAAACATTCTAAACACATTATCAAAGTTTTTAACCTTTTTATCAACAAAAGCATCAATAAAATTGTAAAGATTTATTACAATGTGGAAAAGTTGAAATTTTATCTGCTACCATTCACTGCTCCTTTTACAGTAGACTACACTGTAAAAATATATGACAATAAATCATGACAACAACAGTTTTTATGTTACTTTAACTTGATCCTAATAAAAAAAATGATTTGATTCCACTAAACAATTTAGGCTGTCAGAATGTTTTACAGTGTAAAGTAGTCAACAATTAAAGAGGATCAAAAAAGTTTTTCAAAATTGTTCTAAGACAAGAAAGGGTGTTGTTGAATAGTTTCAGGACACTTTGATGAAAGCTGATGATCTGCTTCAAATGTTGACTAGTGTGGATTCTGAAATTGTAAGTTGAGCTGGGGTGTTGCTGCATTGAGGTTCACCTCAGAGTTTAGATGTGTTGCTCAGACGTGTGGTCTTGGTGTAAGACGTCATGCGTGGGACTTGCTGTAGGAGGTTTGCACAAGGCCATGTTATGCGGACCATTCTGCTCACCTGTAAAGAAAAGGAAGAACACGCTAGCAGGCAGAGAACTCATTGTACTTCAATAATATTAATATACTGTGAAATTGAAAAGAAAATCTTGGCAGGACAGCTTGAGGATGTATTCTTGAGGTTGTTTTAAAGGAAAGAACAGTTGCACAGGGTCAAATTTCCTTTTATGATTTACAAATTCATTTTTCCATTCTAAAACTAATTAGAATACACAGTGTAATGTATAGGATACCATATTGGGTGTAGTAGTTGTGACATCATTCTGGTTTGTGACTTCTTCTGTTACAGCACTTGTGGTAACTGATGCTGAAGTGATTGATTAGCTCAAGTTTCTTTCAGAGAGGAGTAATGGAGCAACAGTCCACATTTATTTAGTTGAGGTAGTGTGAGACTGTTAGGGCATAAAAAGGAGAAACAAACTACAAAATATTGTTTGGCATAGAGTATCATTAAACTGCAAGGAGAATGAATGAGTCAGAGAAGGAATGATCGGATGTGAGAAAAAGAAAATGTGATCCAGATCCTATGTTGTTGTCGAACAACAGACTGAGGCATAAATGCCATTAAACATAAGGACATCCTTTTTATTTTATTTTATACTTTTCCAAATGAACCCACCTTCTGTTGACATCAAAAACACCACAGACGTGCTGCTCTGTTGGGTTAGACTTGTTCTTTTGGTTGCCATTCTGTTAACTTTTCTGTTTGTGTGTGTGTTCACTGTTAAGAGCTGTTTACATTTAAAATAGCTGCCAAGTTTTTCCTTATTGGATTTTATAGATTATAAACAATACTTCTTCTATACTCTGGTCAGATCGTTTGTCAGGCAAAATCCCCACATGATCAACTCTGCCATTCAAATGGCTCTGTAATTTTTTAAACAATTTAATATGTGTATTCTGCAAGTATGTATCAAACAGTCCAAAAATATCAATTAAAACTTTTAAAATGGCACACAATAATATAAAATATGAAAATTAAAGTTTTATTTAAAACAGTGATAAATACAAAATATTTGTCAGCAAATCTGTATGAGGGGCGAGGCAGTAGCGCAGTAGGTAGTGCTGTCGCCTCACAGCAAGAAGGTCGCTGGTTCGAACCTCGGTTCAGTTGGCGTTTCTGTGTGGAGATTGCATGTTCTCCCTTCGTATGGGTTTCCTCCGGGTGCTCTGGTTTCCCCCACAGTCCAAAGACATGCGGTACAGGTAAATTGGGTAGGCTAAATTGTCCGTATGATTTACAAAGAAACTTGTGATATTAAAAAAAAAAAATAGATTTGAAAACATTACAAAAAAAAAAAAATTTGTAAAAAAATCATCTCTAGACTAAGAGTTATTTTCTAATCAAAGCCTATACAAATTGGGTCATAAATGGTGAAGAGCAAATGTACATTCCTGCAATGTCAGGGGCTATTAACAAAACCATGTGTAAAAGCAAATGTGAGGCATGACACCAGTGTTACCAGATATAACAGACTTGTTAATGCCCAAAATATTACATTAATATTTTATTTAATTTTAATTGATTTAAATCGACATTAACCTAGCTACTTTAACTGTCTTAATTTTAACCATACAGCATGGAACACCAGCAGCCACAGAACCACAACATAACCAGATAACATCAAAACACTGCCCCCTCTAACCCACAAACTGCATTACCTACACTACACGTTAAAGTATGTTTTACTTTCGAAATGGGGTGTAAATTCATCCTATTTGGCATTTTAATTTAGTTTGAACATAATTAGGTGCTGCTTGTCAAGCAGACAACGCTTTATGTTTGTTCTTGCTATTCAGGAACCACCACCGACCCTTATGATACAAGTTTGCTTATGGAGAAAATTAAAAAGCGATGTAGTGTTTGGCTGCTCTGCATCAGTCTACTTATATCACTAAAACATGTACACTATCAGTCAACAATTTGAAGCTGTTCTTTTTTTTAAAGAAAACCGTTCTGTTCATCAAGGTGGCATTTATTAAATGTAAAAAAAAAAATTAATTGTTAAATATTTATTAATTTTAAATAACTGCTTTCTTATTGTATCTAGTTTCAAATCTAATTATTACTCCAGTTATTATTCCTTTGATAACTTTTACCATTAATGATATTATTAATAATGATAATAATAATAATATTAGAGTGAATTTCTGAAGGGGCATCACTGTGGCGCAGTGGTTAGCACGATGGCCTCACAGCAAGGATGTTGCTGGTTGCTGTACTCCCCATGTTCACATGGGTTCACCTCCGAGGGCACCGGTTTCCCACACAAGTCCAAAGACATGCAGTATAGGTGAATTGGGTAAGCTCAATTGTCCGTAGTGTGTGTGTATGGGTGTTTCCCAGTGATGGGAAACAGCTGCAGCTGAAACAGGGAAACAGGGAATCTGCTGTGTAAAACATATGCTGATTAAGTTAGCGGTTCATTCCACTGTGGTGACCCCTGATTAATAAAGGGACTAAGCCGAAAGGAAAATGAATGAAGGAATTTCTGAAGGATCATCTGTCTCTTAGGACTGCAGTAATGAAGCTGAAAATGAATTATAAAATCACTGGAATAAATGATTAAATTAAATGATAAACTAGTTTTGAACAGTTATAATGCAATAACATTTCACAATTGTACAGTTTGTACTGTCTTTTTGATGACATTAATGCAGCTTTGGTGAGCAGGATTAGCTTATTTTAAAACATTTAAATATCCTACTGACCCTAAACTTTTGACTAATAGTGTACTGTATATCTATATAAAGAGTTCTTGTTGCGAGATCCTCAGTGCAACTGTGGCATCCTGAAAAATGTTTTCAACTAGAAACACTGTATGTATGCCTGTTAAAATAGTGTCTTCATTTGAAATAACAAACTTGAGCACACAATATGTGTACAGCCCCCAAGGAAAGCTGCTTTTGGATGTAAACAAAGGGCTTTTTAAATGAATATTGCTTTACTTGCTGATTTCGTCTCTCTCTCTTTCTCTCCTGCAGTGGGTGGCGTTTGCATCGCTGTTCTTCATTCTGGTTTCCATAACCACATTCTGCCTGGAGACGCACGAGGCCTTCAACCCCATCATTAACCGCACATATGTGAACACTCAAGACAACACCTCAAGGTTTCACCTGGAGACAGAGACGGTGGTCTACCTAACCTACATTGAGGGAGTGTGTGTGGTGTGGTTCACCTTTGAGTTCCTCATGCGTGTCACCTTCTGTCCAGACAAAAAAAAGTTCATCAAAAACACCTTAAATATTATCGATTTTGTGGCCATCCTGCCATTTTACCTGGAGGTAGGCCTGAGTGGGCTGTCCTCTTCTGAAGCCAAGGATGTTCTGGGTTTCCTCAGAGTGGTGCGGTTTGTTCGGATCCTCCGAATCTTCAAGCTGACTCGCCACTTTGTGGGACTGCGTGTATTGGGACACACTCTCCGCGCCAGCACCAATGAGTTCCTCCTGCTCATCATCTTTCTTGCTCTCGGAGTGCTAATCTTCGCCACCATGATCTACTACGCCGAACGAATCGGCGCCAATCCTAATGATCCACGTGCCAGCGAGCACACCCACTTTAAAAACATTCCCATTGGCTTCTGGTGGGCTGTCGTGACCATGACCACGTTGGGATATGGAGACATGTATCCTCAGACTTGGTCAGGTATGTTAGTGGGCGCATTGTGTGCTTTGGCTGGTGTGTTAACCATCGCCATGCCTGTGCCCGTCATCGTCAATAACTTTGGGATGTACTACTCTCTAGCCATGGCTAAGCAGAAGCTACCAAAGAAAAAGAACAAGCATATTCCCCGTGCCCCTCAGCTGGGCTCAGCAAACTACTGTAAGTCTGCCATGAACTCGCCCCACCACAGCCCACAAATCAGCGAACACTGCGCTCTTGCTGCCCAAGAGGAGATTTTAGAAATGAACAGAGCAGGTAAGGACACTTGTTTCAGTGTTTTCCCTCTGAATTAATAGCAGAGAAATGTGATTTAACCTTTTCTTTCCTTCCACCTCACCGTGTTTCTAGACCTGCCTGAAATCACACATGTAACCTGTTTTCAAAATCTCATTTGGGAATCGTTCAAATACAGCTCAACCATCTGGAGACATTATAAAATCACATCACGCTGCATTCTGTTCCGTCTCTTTAGAAAAACGCACAGAGAAACAAACACACATCTTCACCATGGTTGCATAACGACCAATGCCCTATGCAATCTTTTGCATGTCTATATGTTTTTCCATTCGACTCCTGCGAGGATACATTTCATCCACCCAGATAAACAGTGGCACGCTCATTCAATAGCTTACTCTTGATTTTGTCTATCAGCTTGTCTTAAATACACACTGCTTGTATGTCAGTATGCAATAATTATTAGTTTGCTTTTGGGAGGTTATCCAACATTTGATGGTATGGCTTTAAGTAAGTAGCTATGCGTGAATATTCTTGCTCAAGGGATTGGTTAACCAAAAAAGGAAAATTCTCTCATTAATAATATTAATAATAATTAATAATTCCTTACATTTATCATTTATATAGCACTTTTTTAGAAACACAAAGCGCTTTACACAATAGGGAAAGAGGGGGGGGGGGGGTAATCTCCTTATCCACCACCAGTGAGCAACATCCACCTAAATGACGCGACGGCACCCATATTGCGCCAGACAGCTCACCACACACCAGCTGATTGGTGGAGAGAAGACAGAGTGATGAAGCCAATTATGATATGGGGATGGTTAGGAGGCCATGATGGACAGAGACCAGTGGGTAAATTTGGCCAGGATGCTACAGGATGCTGGGATTTTTAATAATCACAGAGAGTCAGAACCTCTGTTTAAGATCTCATCCAGAAGACAGCGCTCACTGAACTATTAATTTACAATCACGTCACGTATATGACTTTCTTTCTTCAGATAAACAATCAAACACACCATTTCACAAACCACTTTTGTAGTTTACGTTTTTAAAGTAGAGATGCTCAAAACACAAGAGGTTACATTAGTATCTGTCAGTAGGAATCAAACCACTGTTTTCAGCATTGGAGTTGGTTGCTGCTACAGTATGCTCAAAATGCACCTACATCACTAGATGCCCTGTGTTATGTGATCTCCCATCTGGGTCACGGAACAAGTGTAGCCCCTCTGGTTCCACTTGAGCAGCTAAATGCAGGATTCACACTGTATATCCAGCATGAGAGCCCGGTACATTAACAAGAATAACACAGGGGCACAGGGGTTCCCAAACTTCTCCTTATGAAGAGCCAAAAACCAAACTAGATTGAGGCTAGTGGGCCAAAGGAAAGTTTAGTTGCCATGGGCAATTTCCTTACTTATTTAATATTTAACCTCCTATAGGGCTTAGTGGCCACATCCATGGACAGCACATTTTAGCTCTTAAGGGGCTATTTAAAATACTTTCAATGTTTATATTTTGTTACAGACATACAGTGTCATTATGCAACTGTTGTGCAGCATATGAACTGTTTAAAAAGGGGAATTTTTTTTTGTTTTTACTCATTTATAGTCAATACATGTTCAAAAAAAAAACTATGTTAGATATGCATTACAAAAAAATCAGAAAAAAAGTTTTTTAAATTCAGACCACGAGTCCACATATATGGACATAATTCTTTTCTGAAAGTAAATCATATTAAAAGATGATACTAAGGTTTTTATTCTTATTTGGTTCCAGTAAGCCCTTAAGGCTTAAACTTCTTAGGCCTTAAGAAGTTAAAGTATTTAATAACTAGTTTTTTCCTTGATTTGTTCACCGATCTGTCAAGTGTCATTGTTTACATTTTTTAAAAATCAGATTCATTTACAACATTTCATTGAAATATTTTATTTCAGTTTTTTTTTTTTTTTTTTTTTGTAGCTCAGCAATGAAACAAACAAAAAAAGGTTATATCAAATTAAAAATGACGATCTCTTTTAAAGGCATTCGCCCCAACCCTCTCCATCTTTCTCACTATCTTCTCAGATGGGATGGTGGGCCAAATCAAAGGTTACAATGGGCCAACTTTGGCTCATGGGCCCTACTTTGGGCATCTCTGTTCTAGTGTCTGTTGCAAGTGAGCTTTTTTGAGATCAAGGGAGTGAAGTTTACTGGCACAGGTCTAACTATAGCCTATGGAGTGCATCAATGCAGATTCCCAATACATTGACAGCTCATTTGAGTGTTATAGTAGATTTGTGGTTAAATTACAAAGTGAAAAAAACCCTGAATTTGCTGCCTCTCCACCAAGCACTCTCGTGCAGTATGCAGAGGACACAGTGAGAGGGCCGGACTAACATAAATAAGATATATGTCAAACCACTCCATCCCTTCTCAGCATTCTTACCATGAGTAAGTGGTGGTGAGTGCCTTCATTTGAAGCACTCATTTAGAGATTGTATAGATGGATCTGAGAGAAGTGAAGAGATGGACTTGATAGCTGTGTCTGTTCAGACTGGGTACAAAATCTCTTATTAGTCTATGAGAGTAATTGTGTCATTGACTCCTTGATAAGTCTGACTGGAGGGAATTCTCATGGTGTAAATGGCATAATTACATCCCTGCGACGAATAATGTGGAATATAACCCACGTGTTTTCAAGACATTTGATGTCAAGGATACCCCGGATAGTGTAATTCATGTAAAGCTATAGATAAAAAGGCCCTGCCCTTTACTCAATATTATGTTTCGGTTATATTAACATACTGAAATTAAACTCTCAGCAACTTCTGGCTGACACCTTCATTAAAGTATTGCTTTACACGTATATAAGGCATGTAACACTAATGTTTATTTGCTTTTCTTTTGTGAAATTGATTCATTTTATCAATATCAATATAGAGAAATAAGAAAAAGTATCACAGTAATCATAACGCTGTTTCGACTGTACACTACCTGACAAAAGTCTTGTCGATCCCAGTTGTAAGAACAACACAAAATAACTTGACTTTTAGTTGATCATTTAGAAAAGTGGCAGAAGGTCGGTTTTTGCAATGAATCATCTGTTGAACTGCATCTCAATCATCACAAATACCGGACCCAAAATTCTCACAGAAATCAGTCAAGTTTTGTGAAGGAAGAATCATGGTTTGGGGTTACATTCAGTATCGGGGCATGTGAGAGATCTGCAGAGAGGATGGCAACATCGACAGCCTGAGGTATCAAGACATTTGTGCTGCCCATTACATTACAAACCACAGGAGAGGGCAAATTCTGAATTCTTCAGCAGGATAACACTCCTCCTCATACTTCAGCCTCCACATCAAAGTTTCTAAAAGCAAAGAAGGTCAAGGTGCTCCAGGAATGGCCAGCCCAGTCATCAGACATGAACATTATTGAGCATGTCTGGAGTAAGTTGAAGGAGAAGGCATTGAAGATGAATCCAAAAAATCTTGATGAACTCTGGGAGTCCTGCAAGAACGCTTTCTTTGCCATTCCAGATGACCTTATTCATACGTTTTTTGAGTCATTGCAGAGATGTATGGATGCAGTCCTCCGAGCTCATAGGAGTCATACACAATATTGGTTCTTTTTCCACTCCACCATGACTTTGTATTCTATACTGGATATTATTTCTGTTAAGTAACAAGAGTTTTGTCAAAGCAAAGTTAGACCTTACTGTCCTAATTAAATAATTTAAAAATCAAATCAGGATTATATTATATTTTGGTAAAATAAGCATAATCTTGAGGCCTTATAAGCCACTTCTGATACCAAAATGATCAACTAGAAGTCAAGTTATTCTTTGTTGTTCCTAAAACATGGATAGACTTTTCTCGGGTAGTGTACACTAGAGTTTTTAGAGCAGATTTCTGATGGATCAATTAAGACTGAAGACTGCTGATTATTTAGCCTTGTACGGTGTACCCCTATAAAACTTTTATATATTTAAAAAGTTATTTCACAATATTTTTATATAATACAATTAAAATCAATAAAAACCAACATACATCTAGACCAAATGAATGCTAGAAAACATGTTAAAAAAGTAAAACAAAACATAAAATGTCTACATTTTCTGTAGACCCCTGTTTGAAAACTCCTGAGTTAATCCGATTCCTGTGTCTGAACAGTGATATCAGTGGACCATAGTTCTCAGGGTCATCCTATTGTTATGAGAGTTTGTGCCAAGCACTGAACCGTGACAACTCACTCAATGAATAATGATACTATTAGCAACAAACTCAAGTATGTCAGATATGTGTTTGTTTAGTCATCCCTCCTGTGTTTACATACGTGATCTTACTGTCAGTGATCATGGTTAACCGTTGACATTAAGTGAAAGGATGGGTTATGCCTTCTGTTTTCACACAATCTCTTTATTATTTCATTCTCTGTGTTTTTACACTGCACTAGAGCCTGTTGCTATGGCAACAGTGTCCAAGCAACCGCACAATAGGAATCGCGCTCTGCAATGAGCTGCAGTCATTCACTCTCCTCGCACGACTCCTTTGCAAACGCACACACACACCCTGTACGATGGTCTGAGGATGAATGTAGGATAAATCAATACAAAGTCTACTGTTAATTGGCACACTGTTTTCAGGGATAAAATGTTTTTCAGGCATTCATCTGCTCCATCTGTATTGTTTAGATGAGAGTGAGACACATAATGGATAAAGAATCCAATTAAATGCTAGTCGCCGTGTCCATAAAGCATACTCTGTACATTAAGCTTTCAGTTTCCTCTCGTTTACTCACTCTCTCTTTAGCGCAGTCTCTCTTGTAATGAGTTTACAGATGGCACAAAGGCCTTGATTATCAGCTCCATCCATTTGACTTTGGGCAGAGAACCGTAAGATTCACCAGCACATAGAGCGAAAGCATCTGTTGAATTGGCCACGGTTGCAGAGAAGCACGGCAAACACTCCGCAGCTCCATGATACACACACACATACACACACACAATCACTGTTAGAGGTGAGTCAACATTCTGTCCT